GCAAATAGTCGGTTTCACTTTCCATACCGATACAGAAAATACAGAACGTCACGGAGGTCGGAAGCACGGAGCGCTTGAACCTAGAATGCAACGCCTCACCATAACTTAGGTATAAATAAGCAGTTGCTCCCATTTACATCACCATGGGATTGGAATTCTCCTCAGGAATTTACTATAATTCTCTGGGTAAAGTGTGTGGTACCAAATTGTATCTTCTATCTTGTATCTTAGCACCCTCTCTTGTATTTCACAAGGCACTCGAATCTACGAGTGCAAGGAATTGCAAGTAGTTATATTTGACGTGCTATGCATAGATACCAGAATGGAGGCAGTTGTTGTGTATTTCTGCCAGTGTTTGTAGGTCTCGAGGCCGCGTCTTGGCCTCGAGACCCGCGGCCTCGAGACCGTTTTCCTTGGTTCGTCTGCAGTCTTGGCCTCGGAGTGCAATGACTCAGGGACTCGGACTCGACTCAAGCCCTCCAGACTCGAGGACTCGGGTTGAGGCCGGCTCGAGGCCACTACATACATAGTCACAAACTCGTACATATCTGTAACACGCAGTTTACAAGAATTTTAACAACTAAAACACGCCTAGGTTTTCTAGAGCCACACGGGGCTAATCTGTACGTCTTTCAATTCTTGTAAGACTGGTCTAATCTTGTGTGTAACGTTTCATGGCTCCTCTAATTAAGATTTCTTGTTGTCCCTTTGCGTTATTCAGATATGCTTTAGCAAAGTGCTGGTGTTACTATGTATGTTGTCAACTTTCGTGCCGTTATCTCCCGCGTATTTATTAGTCTACCACGTCTTTGTTCGCCCCTTCAACCCGCAACACTTCGAACGGTTACTAGGCCTACCTAGTCTGTGCGTGTCGATTTGGGGGGGCTTGATCCGAGTCCTTTCACCCAAAAGAGGTCCCCGGAAGTCCATTTGCACTCCCGAGGCCAAGACTGAGACGGAGACCAAGGAAAACGGCTGTGTCCGCATTATCTCATTTATAAAACACAAATGGCATCCCGCTTTACTTGGACACGTTGTGTTCTCATCGACTCGTGGTCTCCCCTGTGTTTTTCGGTCTGACTATCCACCTTTCGGAGGCCAGTCTCGACGGCCAAGACGCAGGCCCTCGAGACCTACAACACCTGGCAGAAATAACAAAAACAACTGCCTCTTCGATTCTTCGACCGAGGTATCTATGCCTAATGGCCAACACTGTTTAAATGTTATTTTTATTCCCCACCTTACTTTCCCTCCGTCTTAATGTTTCGCTTTTTTTCTCTCCTGTATGTTTTTCCCGGGGTTTTTATATATAAATATAACAGATTTTGTTATTTTAACATTATATATGCATACATTATTCGGAAATGAAATATATTTACCAAGAGAAATATCGTTTCAAAATTAAAGAATATCTCTGTGCTTTGCACACAATATTCTGGTTGGTTCTTCTTTATCTTTTTGTTTGTTTTAGATACGATTTTTATTTTGCTATTTTAACATGATATATGCCTGGATTAGTTGGAAATGAAATATATTTACCAAGAGAAACACCATTTTAAAATAATGAAAATTTCTACGCTCTGGCTAGTTCCTCTTTTTAGATTGGAGTTTAATGTTTCAATTAATGAGATATTTCTCAGATGCCACATTTTCTCAACAGCAAGTGTTGCAACTGTCCCACAATTTTTGCTGTTATTAAATTGCACAAATTTTAATTATGCAGTATATAATACAAAATATTAGTATAGACACAACTAGATATATAGAAAACTAGATATATTTAGTTGTTTTCGAACAGTAATAGACACCCACTAGAGGTATATTTATTACAACATGCCACAAAGAACCATATATGCATGATGCCATGAATTGGAGTTTTTCATTCGGACTGTCAGTATCATTTCTAGTTTTCATAGTTACAAATAACAAGAACATTCCTACTTCACTCATGTATTACAAGCAATTCCCAACAACGGAATTACTGCTCAGTCGTACTACTCAGTTTAAATTCCAACTATCACATTAACTAGGCCACTGCAGATGGTCTTAGCATCAAAGATTCAACACTAATAAATGCTCATGGAACACAATGGATTGGATGAGCATTCTGCGCAAGACATCTCATCTTAGATGTCACATGCTATCTGCGACGCGACACCTAGAAATCTAAGATGATGTGTGTGACTTAATTAAGAGATTATTGTGCCACCAGCTTGGACGTTTCTTTGGAAGTTCCACAATTCTTTTCCCTTCATAGTAGTGTTTGTCTTTCTCCAACTCTTCACCCTCGTACCTAAAAGAGGCAAAAGGCATCTATGATACTAACGCTCATAAGGTCTATGTCTCCCTGGGTACTGCAGGAACGTACCCTGGTAACTATCTGATATGGTTAGGGTTAGGGTTAGGGTTAGGAAGTAGGCGACTCCCTATAGACTCGTTAGTGGAGTAGGCGAGGTACGGTAGGCGAGGTAGATAGTTACCAGGGTACGTTCCGGCAGTACCCACAGAGACATAGACTCTCTCAGCGATACTGCCAGCTAACATCAGAGTAGCTAGACATATAAGCATGTGCAAGATATTCAGTGCTTGAAATAAGAAAAAAAATCAGGTTGTCCGCAACAATTTCTGGTTATCCCAAAAAATATCCCCAAATCTCCTATTTTCTATCACATAATAATAATGGTCAGAAAACACCCAAAAACATACTGTAGGAGCGATATCTTTAAACTTATTTTATTTCAACCTGTAAACTTAATACTTTGCATGAATCAGGACGGTCATGGGGAGACCAATGAGAAGCCGTGAAACAACACTAGCTATCCATGGATGCAATGCAGGCCGATCGATAGCCAAAATAAATTCAATTCGCGGTCAGAAAAATATAAATAAAGTGCATTTTTGGTCACATTTTTCTTGGTTGTCCACCGGACAATGTCTCAGACTGGTAATAGGTTGTCCGGCGCAAATTCTGGTTGTCTCGGACAACCGGACAACGCTTATTTCGAGCACTGATATTGATAGCTCAGTTCAGTAGCAACATCACATGTGAATGAGTGTATAAAAATTCAGGGAGCATGACACGACACAACCTGTTTCTTTAGCACCCAAAACCGAATGACATGGTCCCTTATAATAGATCTATGAGGGAGAGTTACTCTGTCACCAAATTTGCCAAACTATAGGTTCAACCACAGAGTGCAGGGAAAGGCACTATTAAAAAATGCATTTTACCTTATCACTAGAAATTAAAATACAGTCATCATCAGTAATGACCTCATGCTCACTGCACCACCTCGCCATGAAATAAAATATGTCAAATCTGCATGCCGAGAAACGACATTCAGATATGCACTTAGCACATGTGGCATGCAATTTCTCATTATGACTAGGGCTGTAACGATCCACCGAAATCGAATCGGATCGAGATTCTCTTCCCTCGATCCGATCCTCGATATTTTTCCCCGTATTTTCGATTCACTTTTTTCCTCCAAAGGATGGCGGCACTACGCCTATATATCTGGGAGTGTTACCAGACACATATACATCACTGCGTGAGTAATGGGCAATTTTATATGCTCTGGTGTTATTGACTCACCAATGTTACTCAGCGACTGCGGCAGTTGTTATTAGACTTATATATACTCTCTAGACTCTTAGTTTTTATTCACCATTTAGTATCAGTTGGCCAATTTCGGGAATAATTTAGTTATTGGCCGCAAAATTAATAAAAATATAAAAAAATAAAGATAACATTCAATTATTTTGGTGACATCGAGATCGAGAAGCAATCGAATCGAAGCAGGCTAATATCGAGATCCGGGCAGTCAAATCGAGAGGCTTGTGTTCGTTTCAGCCCTATTATAGACCAATAGCTTTGAATCTGAGGTACCTCTTCTTCTTTCTCTAGGTTTGAAGACTCATCCAAAAGCAAGCGCGTATGTGCAACCACTACTCTACAATACGTTGACATCTTATCCGAGTGTTTCCGACTTCTGTCTTCCCATTTCTCTATTCTGCATTGCACCATGATCACCTTCGTCTTGCTTGTACTTTGGGCCATAACAGTTACCGTATAATACATATATTATATTGCGTGATGCCACATGTGAATGGAGTGTAATCATCCACACTTCTACAAGTCACCATATGTACTTACTGGATGGCACAAGCACTGCCCCTTGCACACGTTTGCACGACATTGTCCGCTAAATATAAAGTCTCATGATGTGGTTTTGGGAATTACTATCAGGAGCTAACACGTGAGTTGGATACACCACCATTATTATACAACCCACGCCGTTGATGGCTATTGTATTTTCTTACCGCATTGTATGCATTACGTCCTAAAGCTAGTAAACTGGCCGGAGCAAATTTCTACATTACCACAAAGTCGTTTTAGCCGTGGTGGGTAATGCCCACAATATGGAGGGCATTGTGACCAGTATTCATGTCGTGAGTTGATCAGTTTCTGATAATCCATTCGTCTTGTCATTCGTCTCTCGAGCAGATTGTCTATTTTTGTGGCCCACAGCCATAGAAGAAGCCATCACCAACAAGCGCCGCTCTTAATAATGATGTCTGCTTATCTATAGAGTCCAGTCTTGTATGGCGTCTGCTTGGATCGCGTGGGGATGTGTGTCGTCTGACGTATCAGACGATGTGGCGAAAAACTCACCAATCCCTTTAATAACATGTAAACAGTTTTATGGCGTAGTAGATATAAACAGTATATAAAACACAACGCGTTGAGTTCAACTACATGTCTCAACAAAGTCAGCTTTTTATCTGCCTCAGGGTATATAGCATGCGTAGCTTTTGATATGTATCGGCATAAGCTTCTATTTTCTTTAGAAATTATAGCAAAAGTAAATTTCTGAGTCTAGCTACAGCCCAAAAATAGTCTTATAATCTCGGGAATATATATTCTAATATGAAAAGTGGAGCACAGGTGTTGCCTGTAATAGTCCCCCACATACACGTTTGTGTGTGTAAGTTGGCTGATTTAGAGGACACTTCTCAAAATGCTACTGCATTGGTAATACGTTAGCTAAATCAATGCACAACCAAGAGAGTGGCAAGCGAATATAACCTACTCTGTTGGGTTGCACATTTTGAATCTAGAAATGTGCTGTGCCGTATTTATGAGAAGCGAGTGTTAAAGGTTTATGTATTTGAATATGATAAATACATGATCATTTTTCATTTACTAGGCTTATGAATATGTCACTTTTACTTATTATATGTCACTAGAGTGCAATACTGCTAATAGTAGTGAATGTATTATTAGAAGCGACAGGGCTTTAGAAAGGTTTCACCAATAAAATTGATGGTTAAATAACATGAAATGAATGTAACTAACAACGTATTAATGTTTATGTTTTCTTCTATCAACAAACTAATCCACTTGCATGCCATTCAATGCTCCTCTGCAACATAGCAATTGCAAGCACGAACACCCTGGTGCAAATATTACAGGTAAGAATTAGGAGTGTGGGAAAGCACGAGTGCTAAATTCACACAATGCAAATGTCGTTTCACTTTCATACCATCACAGAAAAAATACAGAACGTCACGGAGGTCGGAAGCACGGAGCCCGACTTGAACCTAGAATGCACACGCCTCACCATAATTAGCGTATAAATAAGCAGCTTGCTCCCATTTCATTCAACCATGGGATTCGGAATTCTCTCAGGAATTTACTATAATTCTCTGGGTAAAGTCGTGTCGGTACCAAATTGTATCTTCTACTCTTGTTCTTGCTACCCTCTCTTGTATACACAAGGGCACCGAATCTACAGGTGCGGAGGAATTGGCAAGCTACTTATATTTTAACTGTGCCTTATGCCATAGATACCTAGGATGGAGGCCAGTTGTTGTTGTATTTCCTGCCAGTGTTGTAGGTCTCGAGGCCCGCGTCTTGGCCTCGAGACCCGGGGCTCGAGACGTTTTCCTTGTCTCGTCTCAGTCTTGGCCTCGAGAGTGCATTGACTCAGACTCGGACTTCGGACATCAAGCCCTCCAGACTCGAGACTCGGGGTTGAGGCCGGCTCGAGGCCACTACATACATGAGTCCACAACACTCGTCATATCTGTAACACGCCAGTTTACAAGAATTGTTAAAACTAAAACACGCCTAGGTTTTCTAGAGCACACGGGCCTATCTTGGCTAACGTTTTCAATGCGCCTCTATTAAGAGTTCTTGTCCCTTGTTTGAATCTGCTGTCACTTCGTCCCTTTGCGCTTTTCTCTACCACGTCTTTCACCACTTCTGAAGGTAACTGCACTCTCTCATTTGTTCAACAAGCGTGTCATTCTCATAAGAACAACAAATGGATCCGTTACTTTTTGATACGTTCGTAGATGACTCGTGTCTCTGTGTTTTCGGCTGATCTGGACTATACACTTTCGTAATAGTCGACGGATGCCACTGTTTGTAAGTTTTTCCCCATTTTCCCTCTTTTTTCGATTTCTTTCCCTTTTCGGTTTTTTTTTATATTTTTTTGGATCAAAACTGCGACTCTGGACTCGAACTCGACTCGATTCGGGTGGGTGGACTCAGTACTCGGCACTCGGGACTGTCCTGTGACGCTGACTCGAACTCTGCTAGGGTGCGGAATCGACTCGAACTCGGGGGTGTCGGACTCGAATCTCCGCGTGG